AGCAGGTTGCCTCATGATCGGAGGGTCATGGGTTCGATTCCAGCTCCCGCCAGGGGTATCCTGCTGTTGTGTCCTTGGGCAAGACACTTCACCCCTTACCTGTGTTAGTGGTGGTCAGAGGGGCCAACGGCGCCAAATGCAGCCTCGCCTCTGTCAGACCTCCCCATGGCGGCTGTGGCTTCAAGTAGCTTACCATCACTAGCAGTGTGTGAATGTGAGAGTGTGTGAAAGCGTCTTTGGGTGTCTAGAAAAGCGCTACATAAGTTCAATGCATTATTATTATTATTTTGTGTGTGTGTGTGTGTGTGTGTGTGTGTGTGTGTGTGTGTGTGTGTGTGTGTGTGTGTGATTTTATGTGTTATACTTATTTATTGTCTATTTTACCTTCGTAGGCCTTTGAGTATAGAGATAAACATATCATATACTTTTATTCATTCAAAACTTTTCTGTTATAAAACCTTTTTTTAAATCCCATGAATAATACAGAGCAGTATATCCTTATAGCCTAGCTGAATTATGATGAATGATGATGTGTTCTGAACTCTGACTAAAAGTGTAGTGGATGAATGTGAGAACAAACAAAAGGATGAATCAAAGTAAATCTTGTCAAGGTTTGATTCATGAAACAAACGCAACAAGAGGAACAATACATCAGCAAGTTTTTCACGTGATCTGACATATTTGTTTTTCACATTTGCTAAATTAGGAGAACATCAAAACATTATTTAAATGCGGACACAGTCGCGCCTGTTTCACCAGTCAAATCCTGCATCGGATAAGAATCAGATGGTTCCTGCAGATAAATCTAAAATAGAGCAACATGTGGGGACTTTTCACATTAAACTTGTAAATAATATCATGACACCCTCTCTCCCCATCTATCAATCTCACACAGATCTGGTCCAGCGAGAGATGCGCTCCCCGCGCTGGATGTATTTGTTGTGTGAGTTTGAAAAGAGGCGATAATCTGGGAGAGGGAGATAAGAAATGTCATTTATTCCGCGGCACTTTGGAGCCTATTCGCCGGGCCGATCAACCCCCTTTCTCTCTCCCCGACACCTCCAGCAGCTCGCTGATAACGATTAGGCTATTTATTATCTTCACAAAGAACAAAGATTAGCGGCACCGATGAAAAATTACCCCCCCCCCTCCCACCCCCCCCCACCCCCATCTCTGGATGGGCTCGAATCCAGTTGGATTTTCCCTTCTCTGAATCCCTCCTTCAGTCTTCACACACATTATTATGATTATTATTATTAGTAGTAGTATTTTATTGTTTTTATTCAAAATCTGGCATTGTGAGTATTCATGTGGGTTTGGCCTATAACTGAATCAGTGAGCGGTCTTGTTTTTATTGGGGGGGGGGGGGGGGGGATAGTAATAAGAAGAGTGGATTGAATTAATGTTAAATCCTACAGAAGATGGAGATGGATGTTCGCCACCGATAAGGTTTTTATCGCCAGGCCTGATCAAAAGGGCTCTCACTCCGTACTCACACCCTACGCGTTGCTGCATTATCATGCTGATGAGCTCTAATGTGGCTCACTCACAACCACAGGATCTCCTCAGCTGAAAAAGTACTACAATAACAATAATTAAATAAAATAGATTAAAAAAACACAATTTTTTACTTTCTGTTTCTGCGACCCAAAAAAAATTAAGCTGAAAAAGATAAATGGGTAGATCATTTTGGCGGATTTATCCCTAGAAATCCCGGCATGCTTCAGGATGTACTTGTTGTATTAATACTCCCACAGTGTAAATATCAGTGTCCTTCCTCAAGTCTTCGGGACTCTGCCACTCCCTCTCTTTATTCCCTGTGTCGTTGGGGGAAACTTGACTGGATCCGTTTTATTTTTGTTTTCCTCCTCCAAAGATGCGCTGACGTCAGAAGACGGCGTCAAGCAGGCGACACGCGCTCCCACTTGTCTGTCAATCATGCGAGAGCGAGAGAGAGAGAGAGAGAGAGAGCGAGCGAGCGAGAGAGAGAGAGAGAGAGAGAGAGAGAGAGTTTCCTCATCATATTTTCTGATTACTTTGATCAGTTTTGACTAAAATATAAAACTTGATATTATTATTAGTCACGTGCCACTGGTTTATTGGACTTGGGCCCACTGCAGCTGTCTTAACCAACTTGAACTTGAATCAAACCCGATAGCATCAGGAATCTGACAGCTTCAGCATTTTTTAAATTCTTCATAACACATTAAACCTGCATTGTAAACTGATTGTTAGAGCCCAGTTAGCCCATGTGCTTCATTTTAACTTTAACGACTAATGTTAGACAAACAGATTTTTTGAAAATAAATATCGTAATAATAGTCTAATGTGGTGATTTTATGTGTAAGGAAACGTGCAGCTTTCGGTAGAAAATGTTGAATGTAGAGAACTTGAGCAAAAATAAACTTGGTAAATAAACATAAAAAATAGTGTAGATTTTATTGAATTTATATCTGATTTTCTGCTTAGAGGGTTAGAGGTTTTCTTTAAGTTGAACCTGATTGGCTGATTCCGTCCTTTATTTGAAGCTCCGCCCCCAGCCCTTAACTAGCCTCACCCCGTGTTGTCAGCCTCAGTTGGCGCTTTAAGTCCCAGTGGAGGTGGTTTAGTCTGAAAAACGCCGGATCCTGAGGAACAGATGCGCTGCAGAGCGGACCGGACACTCGGAGCACCTGGAAAGGTGAGAGGGTTATTCTACTGCTTGATAGGAGTGTTTTAGGAGATTTGGGACGCTGTGTGCATGGGGCATATTTATACATGCACAAGGTTAATATCTTATAAATATCTAACCTGTTGTGATCTTTGCAGGTTTAATCTCCAACAGGAAGGAGGAACTTATCATATCAACCCCAGAGCTGTCGATGGACTCTCTGATATTCTAGTTATTTTCTTGCACCTCCCTGGATATTGTTTTTTTTTTTTAGTTTATTTATTTGGTTTGAAGCGTTAGAAGAAGTGCTGCAGGATGGATGTGGCGGCTGATCAGCCCCGCTGGATGCCCCACCACGCCGTGCTGAACGCACAGCACCCGGACTCTCACCACCACGGCCTGGGCCACAGCTACATGGAGCCCGCGGCGCAGCTCCTGCCTCCGGATGAGGTGGATGTTTTCTTTAATCACCTGGACTCACAAGGAAACCCGTATTATCACAACTCTGCCCGGACCAGGGTGTCCTACAGCCAGGCGCACGGTGAGACAGGATGCTGAATTGGTTTTATTAGCATCATTTTTTATTTAGTTTTTTTTTACATTTTCAATAAGCTCCATCAGCTGAATCAATAGGTTTATCAGTTCTTTATAATAAAATGATTTTTATTTATTTATTTCCCAGCTCGTCTAACAGGATCGCAGGTCTGCCGGCCTCATCTCCTCCACAGTCCGGGTCTTTCGTGGCTGGAAGGAGGGAAAGCCGCCCTGTCTGCCCATCACCACAACCCCTGGGCCGTGAGTCCCTTCAGCAAGCCCAGCCTGCACCATCCGGGGTCCGCGTCCCCCGGTGCGCTCCCCGCTGTGTACCCGTGCAGCAGCAGCTCTAACATGGTCTCCGCCTCCCCCCTGACGCCGCCGTCCCAGACCAGCTCCCAACTGTACGCGTTCCCCCCGACACCACCCAAAGACGTGTCCCCGGATCCAGGAGCTGCGTCGCCATCCTCCACCTCGAGGATGGACGAGAAGGAGTCTATGAAATACTCGGTGTCGTTACCAGAGGGGATGAAGATGGAGGGGTCGAGTCCGCTGCGGGGTAGCCTGACCTCTCTGAGCGCGCAGACCCCCTCCACCCACCACCCCATGCCCACCTACGCCTCCTACTCCCTCCCCACGGCGCACGACTACGGCGGAAGCCTGTTCCACCCGGGCAGCCTGCTCGGGTCCGCGTCCGGCTTCACCTCCAAAAACAAAGTAAAGGCTCGGTCCTGCACCGGTGAGTCCGCCAGAAATCCAGAGGGCTGCGGTGTTTCTAAATGAACGCTGGTTGCATCTGAAGCTTTAAACTGGATTTGCTACACCTGAACAGAGCTGCGCTCCCTGATCTGCAGATCTGGATGGTTTAGATTATTTTTAAAGATGTTTTTTTTTCCTCGAGTTGATCAAACACGGAAAAACGCAGGAGCAAAAGCAAACATATAAAACATACTTAAAAATACATCAAATTAAATAAAAAATAATTTCTTTAGGATTTTATTCTGACAAACTTCAGCTGAAATGAGCCTGAAGAAACGTTTCAAGTGTATTTTTCGTGAGTAATTTATTTTGTGCTCATATCAAACATTTAGCGGTTTGATTGATTAATTAAATAAATAAATAAATAAATAAATGTGTCGAGGTTGTTCCAGTGTGCAGGCTGTGATTTGACCGTTTCAGAATGCATTTCTAATAAAAATATAATATTTTATGGATATTTGGCCCTATATTAAAATAACAGCCTCTTGGCCCTCCGTTCAAAATGAGGTTTTTAATCTCAACGGGATCTTCCTAGTTAAATAAAGAATAAATAATAAAATATATTAGATTGGATCGTGACTGAACCTGGAGCGGATCCAGACGTGGGAAAAGAAAACCCTGATGTTTAGTCAGGGAGTCACTTCTCCGTTACACGGCTCTGATTGTTCCCGGTCATTGTCCTGACTGTTATTTGATTACAGAGCAGAGACGCGCATTTAGTACAGAGTACGTTTAGTCAGATTTCTGTAGTATTAATTATGTAGATAACTAGTTTAGTTCCGTTTGACCCCGAGCTGCTCTAAACCGTACTGTGTGTTTTGTCCTCAGAGGGCCGTGAGTGTGTGAACTGTGGAGCCACCTCCACCCCTCTGTGGAGACGGGACAGCACCGGGCACTACCTGTGCAACGCCTGCGGCCTGTACCACAAGATGAACGGCCAGAACAGACCCCTCATCAAACCCAAGCGCAGGCTGGTGAGTGCACTCCTCATGGCAGTAAATAAAGAGAGGGTGAGGTGAAGGGTGGGGGTTGGGGGGTGGGGTGGGGGGCACAATTCCTGGAAAGTGATACTCTCCCAATCGGTTTCCTGGAATTGTGTTTGGCTCTCACCTCTTGCTGCTCGGGCTCGGGCTGGGATCAGAGTGCGTCCATGTGGGTTGTTGCTGTTATCACTATTACTGATGATGTCACTGATAGCAGTGCCAGCTGGATCATCTTGATCTTCAGAGATTCGATGCTTGTTGGCAAGTTTGGGATTTGAGTCTGGCGCTTATGGGATTTTCTGTGGCACCGTCGCTCCAGCTTTGGCCATTTTTTCCCTGATAAGGAATGTTTAATTTAGCCTGGATTAAGTTATTTGGGTGCAACTTTTTATGACAGGGAATTAAACATCAATACCCTTTAGTGCTGGAAATATTGTTTACATCCAAAACAAATTCCTTCTGATATGCATTTTAACCCAGCTTGTGTTGATATTTAAATACAAAGCTGCAAAGTCAGCAGTGAGATTAACGTTATGAAACAATTCCTGGATTATTTTGTTGAGAAATAAAAAAATTAGACGATTTTAGATGCAATGAAACGTTTTCACATCAAAACTGTGTCTCTGTTAAAGAAAGAGACATGAAATAATTCCATATTTGTACTGAATAATGAAACAAATCCAAATCCATGTTGATGTTTTTAAGTTAATCATGGTGACTTTGTTACAACAACATTATTAGATAATAAACAAACCATTAAAATAAAAATTTAGATAAAACACAAAAAGTTTTTTTTATTTGTTTTTATTTATTTTGTTTGTTGTTGAAATATTCATTAATAGTTTTTATCCTAGAAGTTTGTATTTTACATATGAAAAATGGAATTTACGCACATTTAACGCACTGGAAACCAAACCAAACCAAAGGGAAAGGGTGTTCGTGGCTTCAGTTTTAAGTTATTCTAAGTCAGCAGTGAAACCGAAGTATTTATAAAAGTCGTTTTTATTCTCGCTGTTACCGTGGAGCGCTTGCATGCGGACTGCTGTCGCCTCCGGGACTAAATCTTTTAAACAGGCACCGGAAAGCAACCGCCTGTTTCATACAAATGATTCTAACGTAGTTTCCGTCCCATTAACTGGGCCTATAAATGCGCGTAGACGGTCATATATCAGCTGTGGTTTCCGTGCAGCCCGGCCCGGGGCTCGCAGCGCTGCAGCGCGTCATGCACTCAGCGGCAGCAGCCTGGTTCCGATCCGGATGTCTGACCGCTGCTGATAAGGAGCAGCAGCTCCCCCCCACTGCGGCCTCACAACTCCAGGCCTGCGCACTTCACTCAGAGTGGTCAAGATCTCCATCCACCGCGGGAGAATAGGAGAACAGAATAATACTGCTGCAAGACAACTAGGGCAGTTGGATCTAGTGGGGCAACTCTAAATGCAAAAATGTTCAGTGATCATTGTAACACAAAAATTATTGCAATTTTTTAAGTAAATGTGTAAATGCCAAATAAAATGTCTAATATAGATAAAAGCTGGGAATAATGTCACTTTAAAATCAGACATTAGTGTAGAAAAAGCTGCTTTTAATGCAAATGTGATCTCTTCAATACGATTTTAGACAACTGGCATGTCTCTATGTCACAGATGACCCAGTTTGGTTGTGTAATAAAATAATTTTAGGTGCAATATTTATGAAAAATCTGTTTCAGTTTTTGTGCTCTTATTTATTTTATTTATTCCATGAACACGCACAAATATGTTATCTTTTAAAAATTCTAAATTACATGTAAACAAACATTTATGTGCCTTCAAAATGAATATATGAGGCAAATTTACACACTGTGTGATATTATCTTTAGAGGTGCTCATTCCATTGTGTGTGTGTGTGTGTGTGTGTGTGTGTGTGTGTGTGTGTGTGCATGCCTGTATGTATGTGTGGGTGGGTGTGTGCGTGCGTATGTGTGTGTGCATGTATGCATGCCTGTATGTGTGTGTGTGCGTGTGTGTGTGTGTGTGTGTGTGCATGCTCTAACAAAGCTGAACCTCTCCTCTTCCCCAGTCTGCCGCCAGGCGAGCAGGTACCTGCTGTGCTAACTGCCAGACGACCACCACCACTCTCTGGAGACGTAACGCTAACGGGGACCCGGTGTGCAACGCCTGTGGCCTCTACTACAAACTACACAACGTGAGTCTGATCCTCATCAGGGCTCTTACAGGATCAGATGGGTTGTTTTGATTATCAAGTATTAGGAGAGGAAGTAAAGCTGCAGAAGATGTGATGAGAAAGACAAAAAGGACACTGTTGCTCTTGTTGGTGTTTTCTTTATCCAATGTTGCCATGGAAACCCCCTTAAGGGTCACAATGGTGGAAATGTTGATGGCTGCTGCAAGACCGACCGCCAAAACAAAAACATTTATGCAACAGGCATCTAAATATTAGCTGTAATACTGACCAGCTGAGTGAACCTGTGTGCCTGAGCTACAGAAGGATGGATGAGTAAACACTTAATGACCTCTTCATTTTTTACGTTTAAAACAATGATTTGATCTGAGTCAGCTTCACTTTTTTATTCATTTCTAATCCTTTAGTAAGTAGTAAACATAAAATTTGAATAAAATTTGCTGAAAGGTTTCACATCTATACTATTTTGTATCCATTATTAAGTTTTTTCTGTTGCTCTCCAGCTGAGGGTTTCAGTAGACTTTCAGTGCTGTTTGTTTTCTGTGTTGATCAGAAAACATTCAGATAAACAATCCAATAAAATAACTATTTCAGATCCATATTTATGTGTTTCAATTCTGTCTTTAAAATAAGATCATAGATAGTTTTTTATTTTAGACGCTCATCTGACTCACGCTTGAACCAACAGCATCACTAACATCACCTGGCCTTCCCCACACAGGTGAACCGGCCCCTGACCATGAAGAAAGAGGGAATCCAGACACGCAATCGAAAAATGTCCAACAAATCCAAGAAGTGCAAGCGGGCGTGTGACAGCTACGAGGAGTTTTCCAAAAGTCTGCATGATAAGAGCTCCCCGTTCTGTGCCGCCTCTCTGGCGGGTCACATGTCCATGGGCCACTTGCCCCCCTTCAGCCATGCTGGACACATGCTGCCCACACCCACGCCCATACACCCCACCTTCGGCCACCCGCACCACACCAACATGGTGACGGCGATGGGCTGAGGAGGCGGGTTCCCATGTGACTCAGAGTGTTATATGTGTGTGAGCTGAAAGGACTCATCTAGGTACCACATCTGATGACACACACACACCACACACACGCACACACACACACACACACACACACACACACACACACACACACACACACACACACACACACACACACACACACACACACACACACACACACACACACACACACACACACACACACACACACGCACACAAACAAACAAACAAACACACACACACACACACCCTGGTGGACTGCACAGGGGGTCAGCAGGTTAACGGTTACTGTGATTATTGTAAATGGGTGAAAATGGACAGAAAAAAGCATTTTGCTACTAAAACTTGCTGGTTGTTTGATTTTTCTTGTTCTGTTTTGCTCTTGTACATTTTTTTTACCAAAGAGCGAGAAAAAAAAGTTTATGAATTATAATTGGACACTGTTTATAATGAATATTGTTATTGTAATTAATATTGTTATTCAGATAATTTATTTTCACTATTTTTTCTGATCATATTACCTGATTCTTAACATGGAAGATGTTAAATATCCCAGTTATGAGTATATTTTTAACTTTGTCTGAGCTGGTCAACATTTTTACTCTGAGAAATAAAGAGATTAAGTTAATTATCTGGTGTCTTCTGCCTGTTTCTGCTCAGAGACGAGAGCATGATAGTTACACTGTTTGTAAGCCCTGTCAGGGTTCTGGGTTGGAGACACAGCTGTGTGTGTGTGTGTGTGTGTGTGTGTGTGTGTGTGTGTGTGTGTGTGTGTGTGTGTGTGTGTGTGTGTGTCATCATAATGACCTCTCAACATCAGCACCACAGCTTCCTGTGACCCCGAGCCAAATCAAGCAGGTTAAGATTAGAAACTGGATGGATGACCAATTTGAGAACAAAAATAAAAGAACTATCATAAATGTTCTGATAATTTACTCAAAACTAAAAGATATTTATTTAATAAAAACAATCCTCTTGAAAGACATTATTGTGCATCTGACTTGAAGAAAGTGAACCACTCATTGACGGTTGGATTTTTAAATCTTGCTGAGATTTCAGTGATTTTATGGACCAAATAATTTATTGTGAAGTATAAAGTAATCCAGTCAGAATGACTTAAATAAAACATAATGAGTTCAGTTATTCTGTGCAAAAGCCACAATTACTGACTGATTACATCCTGCCTACAGAACAAAAGAGATCTATAGGCACACTGATGGTACGCTGATAAATGTAAACTTCAAATAAAATTTTCCTAATGATCTGTCCTATTTATAACATCCTGATGGACTAAAACACCGCACCTCTTCTTTGACACCTTTAGGTTACCTTCATCGCCATGGTTACACCATCAGAAAAGAGAAAATTCCAACGTTCCTAAAGTTAGCTGTTCCTGGGAGGAAATTTTCTGACGTAATTGGAGTACCACATGTTCTTATCCGTGCCAGGATGATCAGCGTCACCAGGAAAATTACCAGGTCTACCTCACATTTAGACATCTTGCATTATATTTATTTATCACTGGCTCGTTTTAAATAGCAAACAACAAAACAAGCATGTTTGTGCTGGAGCCAATTCCAGTGATCAACTGGTGTGAGGCTATGTCAGCTCTGAGTTTTTTTTAATTTAATCTAAAATGCTCATTTTTGGAGACAGAGTGAGGACGCAAACTCCAGAGATGCAGCTGGGATTCAAACCAGGGACCCTTCTGAGACATGCACAATGCTAACATGCAGCTCTCTGCAACCTGGTCATATTAATCTAGAAATGTGAGTTAGCATCATTGTCTCACCTGACTGTAGTTTAACTTTAAACCTGCTCATCATCTCAGAGTCTTTAGGCGCTTTGTAGCTTTAAGCAGCAGCTGATCTGATGTCAGTGAAAACCTCGAACTGGAACATGTACACTTCCTGTTTATCTCCAAATATCCTGATAAGGATACTCAACACATGGACGTGGTTTTGACTTCAGAAGCAGGAGGGCAGGGGACACACAACCTGCATGAGGAATTAAAAGGTCTTTACAGTAAGTATACAAAAGTATAAAACTACAGCCTAGAGGCTCTTTTCTGCAATGTCAGAAATGCAGAACTGTCAAGTACACAGGTGGTAGGAACGGCCAATCACATGTTAGCAAGTATCAGCAGAGCCAATAGCTGAGCTTATTTCTAATGAGAAATAGGCTTCAAGCAGTTGTTTTCTGCTTGGCCCTTGTGTTCAACCAGTGCCCATATTTAATATTGCGTCATTTTGTTTTTTGACGGTAAAAAGTGCAGGGGACAAAAATTGACTTTGGAAAAAGTGGGGGGACATGTCCCCCCCTGTCCCCCCAAAAAACTATATGTCCATGACTAAACACATAACTTTACATTTGTTCCAATTTCTTGAGTTGAATCTATAAAAACAGAAAAGATAAAACCAGTTTACCACATAAAACTGAGTTTTGGCAGCAGAAAAGTGATGCATAGAGGAGCTAGAAGCTGCATTAATTTAGACGTTTATCACGACTGTGTTGCATTTAAAGCTTGCTGTGCTGCATCAGACCCACGTGTGTGACCAGGACACAGATGTTTCTGTAACACACCCGCTGACCTCCTTGACGGTGTAACTTCCTCTCTTTTCCAGGTAAATTGTGCAGCAGGACAGTAGCAGAACATTCCAGTTTCTCCTCTGACCCTTGGTGACATAAACCACAAACAGGTTGCTTCACTCGCCCGCAGAGATTAACCGTGTTGACAGAAACCGAGCAGGACCAGCCATATGTTCCACCCGTTGCTTAACAAGTTACATCTGCAGGTTGAATAACTGGCTTATGAAACGGACCCTCTAGTTACAGTTAGTGAGGCTCTGATATAACATGTTTACAGGTCACACAGGGGTCAAACTTCTCTCACATCACGTCCACTAAATGTGTAAGCAGCTCGTAACGTAATAGATGCATTTTCCCACCAGTTGTGTTTCAGATTCAAAGTGACAGTGAAAGCGTTCCAGCTGGTCCTGCAAGGTCTCAAAATCACAGTAGAATTGGAAAATCACGCATGATTCCAGCAGTTCGCATGATAATCAAGAGAAAGATGGCAGCAAAAGTGTTTGCGGTTTATTTTCTATTCTGTTTACCTCGGCTACAGAGGGTCCACAGGTAATGATGTACATGCTTTTACTAGTTAAGCAGCTGGAAAGCCACAAGTTACTTAAATTTTGAAAGTTTCCAAATGTTTTACACGTTTTGAGTTTGTCTTCCTGTCTGACCTGCTGAGCTTGATGCGGTCTGCTAGTGTAGGGCATAAAAATAGACTTAAAGTGTAAGTTTAGTAGAGTGATGCATCCCTACGCTTCTGCTACTTGGCCAATGATAATGCACCCATCCACCATAATGGCAACTCATGGCTGCGTTGTATGCTTTGCAGACACTTGCACACCTGGTTGAAAGGCCATGTAATTCAGTCTGCCTCACAATTTGGCATCATTAAAGTAAGACTCATGTTAGGACTTAGCATCGTAAAAAAAAGTTGATGCATGTTGAAATGAAAACTTGCAAATTTGAAAGCTGTTTTGTTTTTAACAATCTGATGCAGCACCACAACCTTTCTGCATATTTCTGAGTGAATCTCTGACACAGTTTGAGTGATGGAGTCTCTCTTAGTGCCGGAGTCTAAAGGAGGCTTTTGTTCTCTGAGGCACAAAGTTATGGGTCAGCTCTAGGGCAGCTTGCAGCCTCTCCTCCCTGACCCCCATCATGCTCGAAGCACTTACTGTGTCAGTCTTCTGAGGCCTCCCACGTGCATTTTCACAGATCCTATTAAAACGCCACATCACCCCTGAAAATATGACCAAGGGCTTTTCCAGTAAAAAGAAGATGAAGAGCAGTCAGGTGGCAGGAGCCACTTTGTAGGACAGAGGAGAAGCTTGTGAAAGGAGGAGTTCAGAACTGGGTGGGCATACTAAATCAGCCCATGGGGGAACCCCCACCTTTCTGTGACAACAACTTACTCAACCATTTGTTTTAAAAGCTAATTGAATTACTGGAATCAAAAACGGGGATAGAAGCGACGTTTGCTTCAGGGGAGGGAGTTAGAGGACTGATGGTGATGAAGATGATGAAAGAGTGAGCAGTAATGATAAAAGTAGGTGATTTCTGCCAGAAGAAGAGGTGCAAACCTGAGATAATGATGTTAACATCATGTTTGTCCAGGGAAACTTTTAAAATGCTTTTTTTCTGGGTGATCACAGTACTTCAAATCACAGGTTTTGTGGGATGCCTCACCCTATGCTATGAGCGAGATTAGTTTATCACGGGTTAAAATGAGAGAAACGTGAAGTTTAAGATTAAAGTAAAATGCTTCGGTTGACAAATCAACTTACAAACCATCAAACAAAACAACAACTCACATGAGGACACCTGAGAAACGTTAGTATGTCTCTGCTGTTGTTTAACACAGCAGTGTGCTGCAGCTTAGACTCCGTGTCCTTCAGCTGTTGCATCAGCCTGGATGATGTACAAAGATGCTATCATAGCATAAAACGTCAGGAATGAGTCATTATTCAGTTTTAAAATAATTTCAGTAAAAAAGACAAAAATCACATATGGTTGTTTGAACGGAATGATGGATTAAGTTTGGGCTATTCAAATAAAAATATAACTCTGTTTCAAGTGTTTCCTGTTGCCGATGTCATGATGTAACGTTCCACATGTCCGTGTGAATATTTAGCATTTCTGTATGAGTTTATGAATGTTTCTAATAACAAGAGGTTTTGTTTTTAGCTGTAATGATGTGAGCCATAAAATCCACAAGCAGGAAATCAAACTGTTTAATTATTCTGAAAGTAACGGGAGGAATGAAGGTCACCCTAAAAACCGATCATCTTCATTGAGTTGGTGTGGAAATGTGCCACAAAGAAACAAGATAATAGATTCTTGGAACAAGTTGCTAAAATAACAAGAGAATCAGGCAGCGCAGGTATGACAAAAATGCACAACCAGAACCACACACGGACGTGCACGCTCCCATACACACACGGACTCAACGTGACTCCAGGCTTGGCTCTGCAGAAGCGCTAGAACATGCTGACACATGGCGCTTTTTCTCTGAGAAGTGGAACACCATCCAACCACCTGATCCATGACTTCTGACACGTCCCTTTCAAACCACTTTTCTTCCTCCGTCCGAGGCAGACAAATTCATCCCTCTCGTCCCCAAACAAGCAGCTCTTTTCTTCTGCCTGTTGCACCAATGAAAGGAGGAGGGAGGATCCAGGAGAGAGGGAGGGAGAATTACATCTGCCTGACAGTGCTGCACTGTAGGCACTGGCTTAATGCTCTGTGTATTAGGGCTCCTGGGACTGGGCGTTCGGGCTCCGCTATCTTATAACAGAGTTGACAAAAAGCCCAGGGCTCAGCCGTCAGGAAATGTGAGAGGCGGGGTATCTAGGCCGGGATGGGAGGACAGTGGGAAGGAGGGACGAAGCAGCTCAGGGATTTTGCACTTACCTGCAAACAGGAAAAGTTGGCATGAGCAAACTGGTTTCAGAAAACATTTAGACTGTTCATTTTCCAAAACAGGTTCAAGCCATTTTTGATCTAAATCACCTAAATGTATTTTGACCTGAAGTAAATATTAGATACCTTAGA